TTTCTTGCCCAAAGATCTAGCGCATCAAGGATTCGCTGGAATTAGCTGTCAGGCACGGCATACGTATCAGCTCTCCAGAACCCCTAAAGAGGAGGATGGTCAGAGGCATTACTGCAGACTGTATACAGGCATGCATCCATCCGCAGCGCACAGCCCCTGCATCTATGTACGGGCATCCCTAGGTCGAATGTACGTACGTATGTATGCACGCATGCATGCACCCCAAGCCGAAGCCTATCAGGTTCAAGGTGCGAGGAGCTGGCGGGTTTTGGAATCCAGGGTTCAGGGCTTCGGGAAAAGACACTTTGCTACTCCCGCTCCCAAGATGTCCCTAACAAAATCATGCATGTAACCGCAAAGCCGCATCCTAAGTTCTAATGGAAGCTGCTGCATTGCCGAATGCTGAGGTTAGGTGATTGTCAGCATGGGGTAGTTGGGGCCTGCACCTTGCTTGGGCCTAGGAGGCGATGCCTAAGTTACGCAGAAGTGGTTTGGGATACCTTAGGCTACGGGTCTGGGGCCATTTTGCGGCTTTGGTTCCCGGAATGCTCCAGGGTATACGTTCTCAACCTCACAGCCTAAACCGACAAATCCTAATGCTCTGAACCCGAGTGCCTTCACCTACCTCGCAGCTAGCCTCTATTGAACCCGTAATACACCACACCAATGTTGCTGGGGCCAAGCCCTAAAGACTCAAAGCTTAGGGCCTTGACCCCGCGAATCTCACAGCCCTAAGTCCCAAATTGAAAGGCCTAAACCCGAAAACCTACAGGCCCCAACGTTCTCATATACAAGTCTTGTGCGGAAGAGTTGACGCAGACACAATGCGGCTGCGGGGTGCGAGACAACGACCCACGGCCCCTTTGGCAGAAGAGTATTTCCGGGTTCTACTTGGAGGTTCATGGGTAGTTATAAATAGGGGTAACTATACTTATAACCCATATTAGGGGACTTATAACCCTACTTATAACTACCCATGAACCTCCAAGTAGAAGGAGCATTCAGCGTGCAGCAGGTTCAGGGCCAGGGCTTGGGGTCTTGGGGTTCCGGGGGTGTTCGTTTTCAGGAGAAGGGTTTAGGGTTTAGGGTTTAGGGTTTAGGGTTTAGGGTTAATTTGGGATACAGCCCAAAGCGCGAGATCTAAGCACCGGCAACATCCTCATCAAGCATATCGAAGTCTGTTTCGAAGAAACACAAGACCCTAAACCCCAAAATTCCACGTCTAAGCCATGCCGCAGACTGTCGACCTTCATAAGCCCGGGATATCCCAAGCTTTGGTTTAGGAAGTTTAGGGTTTGGGTTTTGGTGCTTCGGGTTTGGGTTTGGAAGACTTGGGGCTGAGCCTTACGCCCTCCTTTCTCCGACGATCAGGGTTTAGGGTTTAGGGTTTAGGGTTTAGGGTTTAGGGTTACGGAAGCAGCTCACCCCAAAGGACGCTCTTCTCTCGCGCTTTCCTGCCCATGCTCTTTGTTTCGGCGGCAGCTTTGCTGCTTGCGGTTAAGAAGGCTGGCAGGGACAGGGTCCCAAAAGTGACAGTTATTGGGTTTGGTTGGGGTCACTACGATGTTACGAAGGATCTGATGTTGTCATTGCGGAGCTATATATTCTGGCATGCATCGCACAGGGCTTAGGGTTTTGTGTGCAACTTGGCTTGCATGCTTTTGGGTCTCACGGTAGGGACCGCAGAGGTGGGGATATCAAGAGGATTCCCAACCCCTAAACCGGCAGCAGGGATGTCATGTTGCCGACTCCCCCTAACTTAAACACCAAACCCGCAAATCTATATCTTAAGCCCTGAGCCCCAACCCTATAAACACCGAAAGCCTAAATCCTAAAACCGCAAACCTAAATCCCAAAGCCCTAAAGCCCTAAAGCCCCTATCTGGAAAACCTCCCGTTACTGTCTTCATCTCCATCACCAAAAGAGCTAGGAGTTCAGAATCTCCTCAGCCAAGAGACCCGAAACACCGAAACCCGGTGAAGGGTTTCCCTCGTGAGGTTTGAAAGGATCTACTTTACGAGTAGTTTTCTGAAGTTCATTCGAGCCGAAAGGACCCGCGACCCAAAATCGATGAGTCCTTAGACACAATTATTCCCAAACCAGTGTCGTACAGTAAGCTACCATTGGAATCGGAACCGCTGAGGTTGGAAACCGCCCGTTTCCACAAAGACAGGTTTCCAAGAGCGGGCGACCAGTCACAACCTAAATGTGTACAGGAGCGGGCAGAGCGTCATCAGCCGAAGAATGGTTCAACCGACGCCTGGCATGGCAGATTAGATCGAAGCTACACTTGCTTCGCTCAGTAGGGCTTTCGATAGCCATATGCTTAAACTTAAACCTCAACCCCGAACCCATTGAGTCCCCTAGCCCGAGAGCAGGCATTATCGAAGCAAGCACACCGCACAATATCGGAGACAGCTACTTTAAATCGGATGTCTGCGGGGAGTTGCTTTGCCAAGCATCTTCACCGCATTCCTACGTTGTTTCATCGCTTTACTGCTCCCTTTGAGCCTGGATCCCAAGTACCGGGTCGCATCCCCATTGCCGATACTGTTTCTGTGAGAGCCGGGGAGTCCTGCGCGTGGGAGTTTAATGCAGGGTAGGACCCCTGTGATGAGGACCTTAAGCCCTAAACCCTGTACGGCTCATGTGCAGAGATTATGAACCTACATTCAGGCCCCTAACACAAGAACCATGCGTATTATGTATATATATATATATAGACATATATATATGTATACACATATATATATATATATATATATACGCATGTCTGCATACCATATGTATATCCCCGGGGATCCGGGTATGCTTATATAGTGAACTTGGCAAAGTCGACTCAGTGGCTGGACTTGGGCCCAAGGTCGATTATTTGGTGGACTTGGGATACATACATACATACATACAGACATACAGACATACAAACATACATTAAATACCGTGATTATGATGTGTTTCGGCGATCTTCTCAGCTGCAAACGACCTCAAACAAGGCTTTCCGCAGGAGAACCGAAGCATATGTACCGGACTTTGGACAAGTTTCAGCCTCGATTGCTATTCGCAGCGGCTCAGAAAGCTGTTTTTCCGGAGGTAAAATGCTCAAAAGTCTGTCGAGATTGGTTTTTCGTTCCCACAGCTTGCTAGCACTAGCAGTCTAGAGGCACACCGCGCTTCCAAACTTGCTGAATGTCCACAACATTGCCCGGCTGCCCACAGCAAGTGTGAGCGATCTGCTTGAGCCAAACAACAAACACTCTTAGGGTCCTCATATATGTTTTCATGCTCGGCAAAAATACGCGACGAGCTTGAGCCAAAAAACAATCACTCTTAGGGTCCTCAAAAAACATATCTATATCTTTAGGGTCTTGTTGCTTCGGATTGGACTTTAGGGTGGCTTATATGGTTTAATTTATTTTCGAGTCTCCGGTCATTCTCGGGGTTGCTTGAAAACCGCTAACCATAAAACCCATCAGTAGTCAGTGCTGAGATGGTGTGTTTACTTTTATAGAATTAGTCTAGACCCTCGGGCTTCATTCGCTCTTCAGCGGCAAAGACACACTGGGTTTGCCTGTTCGACAAAAGTGGTTTAGAATAACAGGCTTCGGGTGTATCAGTTTAGGCCTTGGGGTTTTGGGTTTGAAGGTTTAGATTCTCAAGCTTCAACTGCTGGGACAAGAGGGCTTCGGGAGGATGTAGGGTTCTTGAGTTGGGTTTACTTGACTATGTCGGGTCTGCAGTTTCGGTTGGTCGAGGATCGAGAAAAGATTTACGGACTGGGGTTAAGGCTGAAGGGTGCCGAAGAGGATTTGACGCCCTGAGCCTGCCATAAACCCAGCAGTTCCCAATCCTAGCCCTGCTCCCCTGAATCGAACACACAAAACCCTGCAACCCCGAAAACCATGGCCTGTAAACCCTACAAGCTTGGAAGCCCTTCTGGAACGGTTCCGCAGGATTTGAAGCTCCGAGTTTTTGCATCGTCCCAGCACAACACTCAGTCCGACAAGCTTTAAGCTTGGAAGCCCTCAAAGTAGCACGACAGTGCCCGCAAGCCTTCTGCGACAGCATGGCCGCACCATTGCTACAAGTCGTTTCTTGGAAACGAACTGTCCGGCTGCATCATTGCTACTCGTCGTTTCTTGGAAACGAACTGTCCGGGTCTCCACACACGTTTTTGTTTCAGCTTGTTCGTCTTCTCAGCACATTCCATCCTGGGGCTGGCAGGGTTTTGAGGAAATTGGGATTCATGGGTCGGGTCATCCTACGTATGCCCTTAAATATAAACGTGTAGACGACGACTTTTAAGTGCCGAGGAGCTGTAGGTACCATTTCTGCATGAAAGTTTTCTCCAGATTCACAGGCTGGCTCTGGCGAGCTATGCCTCAGGTCGAAAGTTGATGTTTTGATTGGTGAAGTAGTATTGTACACAGACTCAACCCCCCCCAATATTGAAGAACTAATGCTTGGAGGGCACCCTTGGACATGCCCATCGCCGATTCGTCGCGAAAACAATGTTCGTATCTAACGTTGTAAAGCGAACTGCACATTGTGTCGGCAAGATGAGCCATCACATGGTGCTTGGGGCGTATGTGCCAGATGAACCTGGGCATCTGGGTTTCAGAGTTCAAGGCTCAGGGCCTAGCTTTTAATACTTAAGACTAGTTTCAGCAAGCTTCTTCGCGCAGGGGGCCTACCACAAAGCTTAGTATTCAGGTTGAGCAACTCCTTCGCACCGACTGCCAGACTGGCCAAGATCTTGTATGTTTGCAAATACTTCAGCGTAGCATGCTGCAGCGAGTCAGCCTCCTTTGTGAAAAAAAAGCTTAGCCCGAATTCGCCCTTACACCAGAAACCCTAAACCGTAATATTTCGAAAAGCTTAGCCCGAATTCGCCCTTAAACCCGAAACCCTAAACCGTAATATTTCGAAACCCAGCACCTGCATCCCTGACTTTCCCAACCCTACATACACCAAAAAAAACCTGTGCCAAACAAACCAGGCACCGCCTGGGAAAGGTAGCGACCATACTGCTCAAGTTGAGAATACCAGCTGTGCAAGTGCCACACACAAATTGCCGTCAGGGAAATTCTGCGGTTCCCAGGGTGTTGCAGCGCTGCCTTGTTGGCCTCTTCCGCAAGCCAGCTGGTGATCACTCGCGAGTTGTAGGCCTCCACAGCAGCTGTCCCAAAAAAGCAATAGCAGCAGCAGCAGCAGCAGCAGCAGCATCAGCACCAACAACAAGAACATAGTGGAAAAAGAGCAGCAAGGCAAGTGGTACAACAAAAAAACCATCGTGCTAACATCGGTTCGAAACTTGAGGCCTTGGTGGCAAAGTAGCAGTACTCCTCTCCACGGAGCACCAGCATCCATGATTTAAATGCCGGTTGGCTGCATGCAATCTTGTGCTTCTGCAAGAAGCAGCGGAAGTTTTGATCAGCCGCACGCCATTGTGCAGCGTCGCTGTCTCCTGGAAACCAGCCAATCTTGAACAATTCGAAAAGTGCCCCACCATTTGTAAAAAGGCCGCAGCCGAGGTTGACTGAGTGCATCGAGTCGAATCGCAGCATGGAGTAATGAAACCCTGCCGTCAAAATAAGGGCATTGAGAGGCTCACCGATCGACTCGTTGAGAAACTCCCTGTGTGTACGGATGGTACGTTTCCACGCAGCATTTGCAGAAAAATCCGTGTACAAGCAAGCACGGTCGACGCGAGAAGCCCGGCAACAATGACATGTATTGTTGCTGTTGTAGTACTGCTTCAGTTTAAAGGTATTAACGTGATGCTTCCAATCACCTCGCAGAGCAGACAGCTTGAAGATTCGACCACCATACATGGGCTCTCCAGGCTTGCAGTTTCCAAGCAGCTGCGAGCGAGCCCCCGAGGACTCCACAAAATCACGTCTAGGATAGGTTCCTTGCAACATGGCGTTGCACGAAAACGCCAGATATCTCCAAACGGCATCGAGGGTGCTTGGTAAAAGCCTTTCGGACCGTATACAGAATAAGGGGAACCTAGACGTCAGCACCTTCGGCTTGAACTCACTGGGGTCTTTGTCGTTCAAAGGGTAACCTCAACAACCAGAGCGAAACAGTTCTTACCGGAAGAACCAAGCCTTATAAGATCCTAAAATCCCCAGAAGCAAACAGCCTTTGTTAATCGTTACCCAAGTATCTTCCGAATAAAACAAGAATTTTCTCCTTAGTGATTGTATACTCTGCCTCATCTCCGTACAAAGCAAACGGCTCGCAGTTGTCGAAAGCAAATTTCTGGGAACTCAACCCAGGTGTCTGCTGGTCCTCATGGTGTTGCCAAAATCTCCTGGCGCGCTCTGGGTCAATGTGGAGCCTCTTTGTCTCCAGCAACCAGGCAGTCAGCAGATGAGGAGGGATGATCGGGATGTCCATGTGTATGGTTTCGTCGGTACCTGTCTTGTCCGGCCGGCTTTTGACCGGCAAGCGAATCGTGTCCACTGGCAGACTGCTCAAATCCTGAAGATGAACAAAAACCAAAACAGTATGTCTAACCTCACGAATCGAAAGCTGCCAGGGAGCACTATATTATTGATTATAGACAAATTAGGAAACCACACGTGTACACTTGCGGTCAGGTTTCAGTCTCACCCCCATGGACTTGGCTAAGTACATCTCGCCAAACATTGCCCTGGTAGTCACCCCGGGCCCCGCAGCTTGCCAGACCCTCGACCGACTGGGGCGTGCCAGATCCAAGCTCCTGTCTTTACATAGGCCAGCCATCCTAATCCTACACCCCATTTCAGAGTTTAGGCAGTCTATTCATTGTGCAGATCGGAATCTAGATTCCCACATAGCTTCCTAGCAACAATGCTGGAAAGGCTTCAGCTTGCAGACCTGGGGTAGCTAGGACAGCTAGGAAAATCCATCACTAAGTGTGTGAAAATTGGTGTTGTCGAGAGGCACAACTGATGGCATCCGCAATCCCAACAGCAGCTGAGGAACTCCATTCCTGATTGGGGCAGCATCTTGGATTACTTGTACTTCTGAACCAGGCAGTCTACCCACTACAAGATTTAGCCAGGTCCGGGGTTTCAGGGGTCGAAGAGTGCAGCTTTTGAGGGTATAGGGCTTAGGGTTAGGGGGAAAAGGGTGTAGGGTTTAGGGGTCGCAGGGTTTGAGGTTTGTGGCCCGGAGTTGCCAAACTCAGGATTTAAAGGTAAAGGGCTCGGGGTTAGGACGTAGGGCTTAGGGGCTTCAGGGTTTGAGGTTTTTGGCCCGGACAAGTCAAGACACTCCAGCACCCACTCCGGCCAGTAAGCGGCTCCGAATGATTCCAGGAACACCTGCGGGGGGCTATGGCATGCTTTTGTTCAAAACATCCTCTCGTTTCGCCTGAAACATGTTTGGCGGCAAGGCCGAGATCACATCCAATTCTTTTCGGAAGGCCCCAAGGTTTGTAGAGATTAGCTGCGCTGCTGCCTATGCCAGACAAGCCGCGCTGGGAATCAACACTCCTAGCAGAAAGTCTGTATGTTGAGGGCTGAAGGCTTCAGAAAGAGTTGTGCATCCTGGGACTCCCAGCTTCAGGCCTGCCTTTCCTGCACACAGTTCGCAGACCTAGCCACTGTGCCGCCTACGGCAGAGAAGCCAAGAGCGGAGTTTGCAAGGGTTAACAACAACGAAAAATGATTCCAGGCTCCGAGCATACAAGGATATATGGCCATGGTATAATATGACCTATAGTATGATTTATCCTTCTCCGCTTAGGCATCTCTTTCCTGCGTGCACTTGGCATACCTACCCTAGTCCAGCTGGGATGCTGCCTATGCCACAGAAGTCAATGGTCTCAAGTTTGAGGGCTGGGTCCTACGAGGCACTGGTAGATAGATACTTTGACTCTGTTTCCTGCAAGCAAGTCCCAGACCTACGCACACGGTGTCAAAACGGGAGAATCAGCTGCAGCATGATTCAGCTGGCAGCTGCAGCCTTGGGATCGGTCTTGCCCTTCTTACCGGTTGCTTTCGCTTGCTTGGGGAGGGATCTTTTGGCCAACTTGAGCTGATCGTCGTAGCGAGCAATCACCTCCGTCATGTGATTCACAACGATGACCATCTGGTCTTCCGGCACCTCCCCATCGATGCTGGCCCTCAAGTTCTTTTTCTCCTTCTGCATGCAATCCACATGGGGTTTGAGGTCCTTCATCCCCGCTTCAAGCATGGCCGCACTCCTGAGGCGCAAAGATTCAAGCAGGAGTAGTAGTAGTAGTAGTAGTAGTAGTAGTAGTAGTACTAGTAGTCGTAGTAGTAGTCGTAGTAGTAGTAGTAGTAGTAGTAGTAGTAGTCGTCGTCGTCGTAGTCGTAGTAGTAGTAGGAGTAGTAGCAGTATAAGCAGTGCAAGTAGTAGCAGTAGTATAGTAGTATACGTATAGTACAGCAGTACCAGTAGTAGCAGTTGCAGCAGCAGCAGGTATTCTAGCGGTGCAATCCAACTCATAGGGTTTAGGGTTTAGGGTTTAGGGTTCTGGCTTCCGGAATAGGGCTGGGGCAGACCGCCCTAAACCCCTAGCCCAACTAGACACACATTTTAAGCCGAGCTTTCGCGCTGAACCTCTAAACCTCGAATCCGTGAAGCCCCAAACCACCATAGAACCCCTATCTGAACACCGATACCCTAAGGGTCCATAAGTAGGCGCTTGGGTTTATTTAGGATAGTCAGTATCTGAGAGAGTGTTGACTAGCAGGCGCTTGGAGCCTTACGGACAGAGCCTGGTAGAGGGCTGCAAAGACCTATTCCCAAACCTGGACCCTAAACCATAAACCGTTAGGGTTTAGGGGTTGAGCTTCAGATGAATTCGGACCATGATTAGGGTTTGTTCGAGGATTAGGGTTTAAGGTTTTAGCATTTATGGTGAAAAGAAGCTTGGGCTCATGAGGATGCAGTTTAATTATATTTTGGGGCTCGAGGTTCAATGCGAGCTTGCATCCAAGGCACATGCCGCCCTTCTTCAACATCGTCTCGATGCTTTCTGCCTCTGACAGCTTCAAGGTCACCTTCTTGAACAAGGCCTCTGCTGCCTGCTTGACAGTCTTGGGGGTCTTCGGCTTCGGAATGTCATCCTTCTCACGAGGATTCTCAGTGGATCCACTGGACCCTGTCCCACCCAGGATCTGCGACCTCAATGGTTCATCTGATAGAGAGTGGGATTCAGGGCTCAGAGTTTGGGTTATTAGTGGCTTGGTGTTTCGGGCAACAGGGTGTCTTCATGGGCAAGTCGCATTGCCCCGTGGGTCATCCCCTCATCCAGCTCCGCACCGCCGGACAGCTCGAAAGCCACTTCATCCTCGGATTCGCTGACTTCTGTCTTGCCGTCAAAGACCTTGAAGAGCTCCCAGTCCTGGATAGAGTATGTGGGGATTGTTGTCGGGCAATAAAGTAATTGTATCGCAAAAAGAGTCATTCAGTGAATAATAGGAAGGTTTGTACCTGGCCTGGGCTTCAGGCCTGTCTGGGTGCTTCTTCCACCACTTTCCAGAGCCCGACGGATCAGCCTTTTTCTTCGAAGTGGCCAGGTCAGCTGCAACAGCCTCGCCGTGCCTTGCTGGTGGGGCACTGGTGGGGCACACTACACCGGGGCCTGGCTTTACACGTGGGTTCAGGGTTTAGGGGTTCAGAGTTTAGGGTTTAAGGTTTAGGGTTAAGGGTTCAGGGGTTCAGAATTTAGGAATTAGGTTGTTTTTGGGTTTAGGGTTTAGGGTTTTTTGGGCTATTCGGGTAAGGGATTTTTGGGCTTTAGGGTTTACGGCTGAGCATCACAAATATCACTGAGGCATTGGTGGGCTTCAGGGCTTAGGGCTTTCAGGGTTAAGGGGCTTAGGGAACACTTTAGGGTTTAAACATACACAAATGAAACAAAATAGGTGATGGAGAGTGGAGCTACTCTTTCATCAGCTCCGCATATTTCTTCCAAACGTAGAGTCCGGTGCGTTTCCCACGCTTCTTAGAAGAAATATTCATCATGATACTGCTCTTCATCCAGTCCTCTTTCGCACTCAAGAAGACCTCGTAGTAGTGCTTCATGACCTTTGGCCCTCCTGGGATCGATGTTGTTATTATCAATATCATATTTATACTAATTAAAGTTTGAGGCGGCATACCGGTTCCAGTCGCTCAGGTTTCTCTGAGCAGGCACCAGGTTGAGAGGTTCAGGCTTTAAATAGGGATGAAATTTTGGGCTTTTGGGTGTTAAAGGTGGCATTGCAATTGCTTTCAGGATTTAACTTCAAGTTTTGGGGTCGAGGGTCGTTCAGGGTGTCTCGGTTTGCGCGTTGCTGGATCGAGCTTGTGGGCTTTACTTTTGCTGCAAGTTCTCAGTTGTGGTGTTATCAAAGCTAAGAACCCATCCTAAGCCCTAAACCCTAAACCCCTAAACCCTATAAACCCTATAAGCCCTATAAGCCCTATAAACCCTGAGCCCTAAATCCTAAACCCAAGCCCTACCTAGACCCCAAAGAACCTACCTTTTACAGACGTATATCAGGAAATCATGACAAGGAGCCCTATAAAGCGGAGGTTCTTAAGGGTCCAGGTAAGCCCTAAACCCTTAATATGTATACCGCAGTATACCTATATAATGAGAACCCCCTTCATAGGCCTAAGTATATGTTATATGGTTACGAAGCCCTAAACCCTAAACCCTAAAGCCCTAAACCCTAAACCCCAAAGCCCTAAACCCAAAAGCCCAAAGCCCTAAACCCAAAAGCCCAAAGCCCAAAGCCCTAAACCCAAAGCCCTGCACCCTAAACCGCGGGCTTCGACTCTTTGAGCAAGGGGGTCGCTAAGGGTGTTCCTATTCTAGGGATAAACTTATTAAAGGGGTTCTTACCACATAGGTGATCTTTTGAGACCATATCATCCTCCACCACCCAGCACTTACGGGCAGGAAACCATGAAACGGTTCGAAACCCCAAATCCTCCCCACAACCTTTGAACCCTAAAGCCCTCAAACCTTTAAGGCCTGCCACCACCAGCACAAAGCACCTCCACGTACTACTACTACTACTACGACTACTACTACTACTACTACTACTACTACTACTACTGCTACTGCTAATGCTACTGCTAATGCTACTGCTACTGCTACTGCTACTGCCTTCTGCTACTACTGCTACTACTGCTACTACTGCTACTACTACTGCTACTACTACTACTACTACTACTACTACTACGACGAATTCACTACTACATCCGAGGCACTGGATTTCCCCCTGCAATCGAAAATCTTCTTGCGAACCTCCTCGGGGCACGTGTCGGAACCTTGGCATTGGGACGGATTCGGAACTAGTAAATACTATTGTTGGGGAATAGTTTTGGATTTAGGGGGAGGTTTAGGAATAGTAAGGCTTCGGAACCAGGGCAAGGATAGGGCGGCTAGGTTTAAGGCAATATTAACAACACAGAACCATAGCAAAAATGTGATGCCCAATCCCCCTGAAGCTGCAACCCAATCTGACTCAGAGATAGGCGGAAGTCCCAACTGCAAAACACGTACCCTAGCCTGTATACGGGTATAAGCTTGCTGAATGAGAGCCACTGCACGGATGGATCTGTAGTAGCGCATGTATGTGCGGTGTGCCTCCTTTTGGAGAGCTTGGTCCTGCCCGGCCTGCGCCGGCGTGGTGTGTGCTGCTTCTGCGGATCTTCCCGTGACAGGCTCTTCCTTGACTGACTTTGGGCTGCTTGGCTCGATGCGCTTTGTCGAAGTCACCTTGCTGGGTGTGACCTTGGTTTCTTTCTGTGGCTCTTCCTTGACTGGCTTGTTCTCCTTGGGGGGCGTCTCTGCTGGCTTTGCTGGCTCTTCGTTGACTGGCTTGTTCTCCTTGGGGAGTGTCTCTGCTGGCTTTGCTGGCTCTTGGTCGACTGGCTTGTTCTCCTTGGAAAGCGTCTCCGCTGGCTTTGCTGGCTCTTCGTCGACTGG